CGTAGTGGTGCTTGTGAGCGAGTTTGGGTGAACCTGTCCTCGCCGATTCTGCCAGCTCCTCTGCGGCCACCATGGCTACTATGTCGCTACCCCCAGGGCAGCATTCGAGAGGTGTCTGTTGTAGCAAGCGATTGTCAGCCGCCTGTCGAGTTGCAGCTAGACTGTGGACGCTCAAGTAATCGAGCGTCAATATGTTAGCCGGTTCGGGTCGTTCCTCGTCGATACTGTCGCCCACACTCATGCTCTGCTTCTTATTGTAGTGGCGGTATTTATTCGAAGTCGCAGCGATTTCTTGCTGCACGGCGACCGTAGAACCGCCGTGTGCGTAGCTGTGTTGATAATGATGGATGCCGCCGCCGCTGCTGCTGCTGGCTGTCGATGTTAAGCTGTTGTTATGTGAGACGCCTTGGCGATAATCGTTGAAAACATCTTTCGAGGCAGTCACACACGGTTTGAACGTTACGTTACGCATAGTTGGAGGCGATCCGTAGCGTTGAAAACTTGACCTCAAGGCAGAACTCGCAGTCGCCTGACCGGATGTAGGTGGTGTAGTTGCACTGCAAGCATTGGATGACGCAGACGATGACGTCACGTCGTCGTTTTTGTTTGCTTCAACAGCTGTGGCGGTCGATACTTTGCTGGCGTCCAGTCGGTTGCTACGAGACGAAAGGCATGCAGCGTCGGAGTGAGTTGATGTCGTTGATGTGGATGGAAGCTGCGAGGTTGCTGAGGTCTCCCTGAATAATTGGTGGGCAAACAACGAACGATCATCCTAACAAATGAATAGAAAGACATTGTAATTACAGCACCAACCATCATCTCTACTCACCTTCTCACCAACAACATCAGTACAACTACAAACTTAAAACAAAAAAAAACTAACTTGAAAGAATGGGACCTCAGCCCTTCACCGTCAACCACCTTGACGCTGCTGTTGTCGCCACCGAAAGAAAAATTTACAGACTTGGCGTCTAGACTCAAGTTTGCAGACTCGCTGCTCAGACTAGACCTCTTATCCTGCTGTCTAGACATCATCATCATCATAGTTGTCGTCTGAGTCATTTCCGCTTGAACTTCTAATCTATTGACGTAGTATTAATAAGTTTTAAAAGTTATGCAAACACTAAATAAGGCACAAACAACCGGCCAGACAATCAGACTAGACAACGAGACAGATAGACAACCTATTTTGAAACCCGACATTCCCAGTGTACAAACTCCCAGACAGACTTTCAGCTATGCACGATCCGGCCATGGCTTTGTGACTGGCCGAGTCCCTATCGCAGCTATCTTCTCTGATTGCCCCCACCCTATCAAGATGGCTGCCACTCGCACTGAGGCTGTTAGTCATGACCAATGACATCTCTCCAATGCTGGGGCCTATGCTGGGATTGGCCACGCCTCCGTGAGCACCCTCCACCACGCTCCGTGTCTCGGCGAATGTTGCTGATGTGGTTTTAAATTTTTTAGTTGGACCGTGTGCGTGCGTGCGTGCCATTTATGACATAAACAGAAATGAAGACAGAGACTGAAATTGTAGCACTTACCCTTGAAAAACATCAACAAAACAAAACAACAACATCAACAAAACAAAATAACTGCAAACAGCAACACAACTGAACGAACAACTAATGAGCAACAACAGCAGCAGCACAACTGAACTGTTATTAATATTGGAGTTAGCGCCATCTGTCCTGGCTTCAGTTTCATTGAAATCGATCTTGACACCGCCGGAGTTTGTCGTTCGCACGCCACAGCCACCACTGCGACACAACGAGATCGGGACCACACCGTACACGTAGGCCAGCAATATCGGAACCCCTATCCCTGATAACCATGATGGGAGGTCACCATCATCAGGTCATAATAAACAACCAATCGACTAATCTAATGAAATAATAGACAACTTCACCAGCCAGCCAATCAAATATCAGGTAACTTCACCAGCCAGCCAATCAGATGGAAAATAACTAAACTGACCAACAGCAATGGCAGCCAGCAAGGGTGATATAAGAATGGAAGAGAGGACACCTCCAGTGGTTGCCAGGTTTCTTTTGTGAACCGTCATGTAACTACACTTCGAAAATACCTTCAAGATGAAATACAAAATTACTAAAAAAAATATGAAAATACAAAAAAAGACAACAATTCAAAACATTTTAAAACAATACTTAAACATTATATACAAAAGAAAGAAAACTAAAACCACATCAGCCACAAACAAGCCAGCCATCCAATCAAATCAAACCAGCAAACTCTCGACCAACGAGCCAACTCATCAGCAAGCCAACCAACAAATGAACCAACCAAACAAACAAGCGCTCACCCTTTTGCCCACCCAGATTGGTACGCCGATGATGATGGCGGGTACTGCGATACCGGCGATCAGGGTGATACCAACTGGCGCTCCCACGAGCGTTCCCAACTGCCAGAGAATTTTTTTCTTGCGACTCCAAGGTTTTTTACCCCAAAACGTACAACCAGATGGGCTGTTGGATTGGTTGGTTGGTTTGGTTTGGTTTTATTGGTTGGTTGGTTTGATTGATTGATTGGTTAATTTGATTGGTTGAACGATGAAATGAAAGAAAGAATAAATGAATGAATAATTAATAAATAGACTGATTATCGATTGATGTATGGATGTATTGTATTGTAAAAAATTGTTAAATTAGTTAGTAGACAGATGGTTTGATCATCAGTCACTCGACTCGAGCAGTAAGCAGACAAACGAGAAATGATCAAAACAAACAAGCAACCTCAAATAATGAAGGTCGGAAATTTCCTTCATACACAGCCAGCAGAACTCAGCGCCACAGATGGCGCAGGTCATGTGGTTGCATGAGCCGTCGTCCATTTTCACAATGAAGGCCTGACATCTTGGGCACGATTTTATGTCATCTGCCAACGAAATGGAATTAAAATGATTGATTTAAAGTTGTAAAATGCTTTTTTCAGTTCGTCATTTCAAGATGGTATTCAATTTTAACCATCCAACCAATCAATGAGTTAATCAATCGGCCAGCCAATCAAGCAACCATTCAACTTGAGTAGCTATAACTAACCAATCATACAATAAATCCGATAAAACACTATAAATTAATTAATCAACTAATGGATTAATGGATAGATAGATGAATGAATTAATAAATTCGAAAATAAACAAACAAACGAACAAATGAACGAACGAACGTACGAACGAATGAATGCGGCGACAACCACAGAAATTTGGCCCTACCAAGGAAACCAGCCATTTAATCAACCCAACAACCTACCAACACTAATCAGCTAATCAACCAACCAACCAATCAACCAACCAATCAATCAATCATCCGGCTCTACCCTAACCCCAGAACTAACTGTGAGGAGTTGATTCCTGACTGAAGGATGACCTGAGGTTCGACGATCTCTCGGCCTTCGCATCATCACACGTCTGGCACGGGTGCCAGTATTGTTTACAGTGGTAGCAGAAAGTGGCCCCACAGCCCGGCCTGCTGCATGAAAGTTTGGGACAGCTGGCACAGCCCGTTGCTATGACGACGTAGCTGTTAGGGCGAGGAAAAATTGCAATAATATTATGACTAACTATGGCTATAATTAGGTAATAATTATGACGACGGCAGTAATAATAATGGTGGTGAAGATAATAATCTGTGAGGGAAGAAGTGACAAACTTGCAGTCGGGGGCAGGGCACCACCTGGCGTCGGGGTCCGACACAAGCACCCTCCTAAGCATAAACTCTTCATACTTATTATACAGGTGGACATCTTCGTTGAGTATGGCCCGTATGTCGTTCGGGTGCAGCTGCTCCGAACATTCGGGGCAGGCGACGTTTATCCTCGACTCTGTTATCTCAACTCTCAGGTACTGCCTCATGCAATCTCTGCACGATCTGTGACTACAGAGGGTTGCACTTAATTGGGGAAAGTTAGATTTGGGCTGGGGTAGGGTGCAGAGGGGACATTCTATTAGGCTCTCAGGTTTTGTAGAAGTTTGTGGCTCTATTGTAACACTTGCACTACTACCAAGAGTTTCAGATGTCGATGGCTGATTTGTTGTAGCTGATGTTGTTGCTGCTGCTGCTGCTGGGTTGAAGGATGTTTTCCTCCATGACTTTGATTGGCTGAGCTATAAAAAGAAAATGATTTCTGAGCTAAAAATAGGTATATGTGTTTTTGTTTTTAAAGCAAAATTAATACAATTCTTATCACCTTAAATGGTAATGTTAATAACTTAATTGACATTGTGAAGGAGTTCCAGAAGATGAACGTATATATCATTAGTATCATATCATTATTACAATGCATTGTGCTGTACACAAAATTAGCAGTTATTAAGTACTCCATTCAGAGAAAACTGAATCATATAATGATTACCATAAAAGTCAACTTCACATTTTCTTGCATTTACTATGAGTAGCTAACATAAGAATGAATGAATGAATGAATGAATGAGTGAGCAAATAAATGGGTGAATTATTTAATGAATGAGTGAATGGGTAACATCCATTAAAACTATCATCATCATCATCATTATCATCACCATTCTCATATCATCCAATGCTTTGTCATCATTATTCACATAGAAAGTCATTAATGTTCATATTAACTTTTTGAATGTCAAATGATGAAACACTGTACTAATCTAATGGCATTTATAAATCTTTTTCATGATCTATATATATATATATACATGTGTGTGTACGTGTGTTTGTGTGTGTGTGTGTGGGTGTAAATATATATGTAAATAACCTCGTTTGAAGGTGATCCCAAAACCTTAACACTGGCCTGGGGCAGTTCCAATTCAGTAGCTTGCTGCTGCTGCTGTTGCTGATGCTTCTTTTTGCTGCGACTCATCAACCTCTGGCCATGAATATCGTTGAAGACCCTTCTCAGCGAAAACCATCTGGCAGTCTTGTTGGATGACGTTGTACCAGTGGACCTCTGGCTCTGAACTGAGGCCTGCTGTTCGACTGACGGTCGAGATGACACTGAAGTTATGGATGAAGTTGTGTCCAGTGTCTCTTTTTTGCCTATTTTGCCTATTTTCTGCATTCTGTTACGATACAATTTTTGTTAGTGAAAGATTAGATTACAGAACATAATAAATGGCCAGTCATAACTTGATGCTAATAAAAAATGAAACATTCAGCAAGGAACATCATTAAAAATCATAAAAGTTAATCAAAGTTTAAAAAAATCTACTAATTTCAAAAATTCCAAAAACAAGGAAGAGAAAAGAAATTAATTAAATAAATAACAAACCTGTCTGTCCAAGAATTACTCCCTATCTTAACTAATACTAATCCGACATTTTAATTTAATTAATTTAAAATAATTTTTAAAAATTAAACTTAAAGTGTCTTTGACAATTCGAATTAAATAACTAATTGAGAATGAAATGATGACATTTTTAAAATTCGAATTGGTAGGAAAATTCCCCTTTTACATTTATTCAAGCAAACAATAGGAAAAAATATATATGTATAACATATATATATATATATGAATGTATATTATAAATATAATTATATATATATATATATTATTTAATTGTACGAATATAAACAAAAATAACGGCCAATGTTTTTAAAAACAATAGGACAAAAATTAGGGAAACCAACTAAACGACTAAACAGCAAGAATGCATAGGCTATTAAGCGTTACAAAAATTAAAAAATATCCATTTAAATTTAAAATTTATATTTTTACAAACCTTGATGTAATTATAAATTTTTTTAAATTAATAAAGCTTATATTCAATTAATTAATTAATCACTTTTAAGGACATTTAAATTGAATATGTGTAAAAACGGATTTATGTTTGATTGATAAATTGATTGATTGATTGATTGATCGATTGATTGATTGATTGATTGATTGATTGATTGATTGATTGATTGATTGATTGATTGATTGATTGATTGATTTACAATATACTGATCTACTGATCAATAAATTGGATGATTGCTCAATGAATAGATACTTACATTAATACTTACGTAGTCTGTCCAACAATAAATTTCAATTTTATCTACTCTGAAAATTTAAAAGTAAATTTCTTTAAGTCGTTTTTAATTTATTTAAATCTGTATTTTTTATTTTATTTCGTTTATAATCATCACTAGAGATATTTTGTCGACATTTTAATTGTTTTATCGTAATTTTCGTAAATTTTTGATCAATCGAATATTAAAATAGAATAAAGCGATAAAGAAGCATGGCTCCAGATATAACCATCAATCAGCTCACAAACATCTGCAAAACTCTTGAAGACCGATTGAAACCTCTGCCGGAAAGGTTCAGAGCACTTTTTACTCTGCGAAATCTCGGCGGGAAGGCGGCCATTGATAGCATATCTAGGTGCTTTTCTGATCCCTCGGTTCTGCTGAAACACGAGTTGGCCTATTGTTTGGGGCAGATGCAGGATAAGTATGCTATTCCTACTTTGATAAACGTTCTGGAAGATGGCAGTCAAGAAGTTATTGTGAGGCATGAAGCAGGTTTGTTTGGTTATATTATTTTTTAATTATTAGTACTCATGCACTTTTTAATTATTTTACAAAACATGTTTTTTTCATTATTATATTATCTTTTCATAAGAAGTGTGGTTTTATTGTTCCATTATTAATATTTTTATGTAATAAAATTTCTGAAATCAAACTTAAAAGTATTTTTTGTTTATCTGCTAGTAACTTTTACTAATAAATTTATGCTTTGTACCTTTTACTTTTATGTAATATAATAGTACTAGACCATTAAACCATGTTTTGTCAATAAGGAGAAGCTCTGGGAGCTATTGGTTCTTCAGAAGTTTTGAATGTTCTGGAAAAACACAGAGAATCACCAATCAGAGAGGTCTGTTTCAGTATTTCATTTAATAATTTGTTTATTATTACTACAAATTATATTTTAATTGACTTTATAATTAATTTCAGATATCAGAAACTTGCCAATTAGCGATAGCTCGATTGAATTGGTTGAAAAATAGAACACCAGAAAACCCTCAAACACAAGAAGAGAGCACAGAAACCACAACGAACCCTTCAAACGTCGTCTACATGTCAGTCGACCCTGCACCTCCGGCAGTCATCAGGGATGTCCAACAACTGAAATGCCTACTTTTAGATGAGAAGCAGTCACTATTTGATAGGTACAGAGCCATGTTTGCATTGAGAAACCAGGGAGGACCAGAAGCTGTCAAGGCCCTGGCTCAAGGTTTATACATTTGAAATTAACTTTTTATTTTAATTGTTTCAATATAATTTTTATATTTTGTTTGTATTACAAAACCTTTTTTTTATCAAAAAACAGTATAAATCATTAGAGAAATAACGTCTACAATATCCTAAATAGCCTTAACTGATTTGATTCAATGCAAATGATATTCACACATCTTATGTTTTTTCCTCTCTCTTAGCTCTAAACTGCGATGGAGCCCTGTTCAGACATGAAATTGCGTACGTTCTTGGTCAGATGCAGGATGCCGATGCAACAGAAGGGCTACTGAATCGACTGCAAGATCAAAACGAAAGTGCCATGGTGAGGCACGAGTGTGCTGAGGCCCTGGGTTCCATAGCCACTGACAAGTGCGAGAATGTTCTGAAGAACTATCTGAATGATGAGGAGGAGGTGGTCTCACAGAGTTGTGAGGTAGCCTTAGATATGGCCAACTACGAAAGATCCGCCAGTCAGTTTGAGTATGCTGACGGCCTGACGAAGCAGAGATTGGAGAGACAAGTTGCTGAGAAATATGTTTGAATGTTCATTCCTCGTTTTATTTATATTTTAGGGTCGTTGTTTGTTTGTTTGTTTGTTTGTTTGTTTGTTTGTTTCTCTCTGCGTAGATCAGTTCATTTTTGTTGTTGTGATGGTGGTTTGAAATATTTATTTTACACTTGTTGAAAGAAAGATGAATTTTCAAATGTTTTAATAAAATGTGGCAAAAACTTTCTAGCATTCTTTTATTGACATTGGATAAAAACAAAAATAACGACGAAAATTTCCATCAAATTGAGAGAGCGCAACTTAATAAAACTGGAATGATATTTACACATACAGTCAGCCACGACGCAGTACAAAAAAGACACAGCATGTACACAAATGTCAAACGAAATCATCTCCATCATCCAGTTGTTGAAAACTCTTCCCAGCGAAAGGAGGCAGAGGTCCCTTGGCAGCAGGGGGTGGAGGAACCTGCCAACTGGTGTCCGCATCTTTCATTCCAGAACCGGGAGCGTAAGAATGCTCATAACCAGGATCAACTTGTGGATAACTTTCAGGTTGAATCAATAGTTGGCTTTTGCCTGCAGCCTGAGATGCTTGCGGAGCAGGGTAAGAAGGATACCCTGCGCTGTAGTCGTAGTCTGGCAGGCTGGATGGGGGTTCAAGTTGGTAGGTGGACATCTCGAGGGCTGCTTTCGTGTATTCATCCTCCTTTCTCAACAACGTGTCGTACGTTTTTTGAGCTTCCTTGTAGAGAAGTATGCCGGAAGCGAGACTGAAGAGGCCCGTTATTATAAGGAAGCCATAGCCCCAGGAGAGGAAGTTCAAGTCCGGTCTCGGTAGCCAGTAGCGGTCGTTCGTTTGGATGCCGAATATGAGGGCAACTACGAGTGTGACCATGGCTGTGAAGTTGGATGATTTCAATAATTTGGTAATTATTTGAATTATGTTGTTGTTATTATTTGTGGTGCAATGAAATTGGGTGGAAGTCATTTGTTGTAGGTTGCCTTTTCTGGCAAACATCTAACACATTTCACCACTAATCAATTCAATAACCTTCAAGCTATCACTAATCCAGCAAGAAATCCAATGCGAAAAACAAGTGTCACTAACTGACTAAGATCATAAGAGAGCCGGCCGAGAACATGCCGTAGGTTTGTAGGTACTCGTGGTTCATGATAGGGCACTGGTGGAGGAAGATCATGGCCACAATCAGGCTGGTCGTGATGAGGATGAGTAGACAGCCGACTACCAAAACTTGGCACGTTATGAACCACGCTGTTTGCGTTTATGTGTGTTTGTGTGCGTGTGTGTTTGCGTATGCGTGTTTGTGTGTGCGCATGTGTTCAGTTTTTTCTATTATCTAATTGATTAAAATGGACGCATCTTAATGAAAAATCATACTTTATAGAAAAATACACTAAAATTAATAACTAAAACACTACATGCGTGTGAAAAATTTTTGAACCACAAATGAGAAACTTTGCACTTACGCGGTGTCAGCCACTCTCTCAACTTATAATACTTGGGCTGCATGTCAAAGACCCACCAGCAGCCGCTGTACAGCTCCTGGCTGTCGTCCTTAAACTGCATGTATTTGTTGAAGCAGACGTGCCACAGTCCCATGTTCTTGAATGGACTCTCCGACATCGGCCATGTTTGAATCCAGTAAGGGCTGGCGAATGAAATGCAAATCGAAGCCAGGGCCATTAATCCACAAGCAAATCCGGCCCAGGCTAGCATCCCTGTGGGTGCCGGTTGCGCCTCTCTGACTGGATTTTGGTTGTTCTTCTGTGGCAGCATCTCTACCTTTCACTGTTATTAATTACTTTTTTGTTCTTCAGGTCAGTCTGTTGTGGAATGAATGGAAATTTTTCGGTCGGGTAAATTTGCTACATTTATTTACTATTATTATTATTATTATTCTTTATTATTATTATTCTATATTATTTATTCGTTATAATAAAAAATAGAGTAAAGAGACAGTACCTGTTATGCCTTAACTTAATTAAGCAAGCTGATGAACGCTTGTCGGTTCTCAAATGTTTTTTTCTTTGTTTATTTATATATATTTTATATCAACAAGTAGCTTATTTTTTTATAATAATTGAAATAAACACGAATTAACTTTAATTATTTTCACAGGGAAACTTGAGCAAGAGAACTGAATTATAAAATTATATTAGATGAAATTTTGATCAATTAACTCCGTTTAAAATGAATACCTTCAATAGATTGACAACTTTAAAAGTAGATACATACACGAACATACATTCTCACGTAAATAGCATACATATACACGTAGGTTATTTACCTGTAGTGTAAACATGCACACCTGCTTACCTGCTAATTGCTTTAGAGCCAGTGATGGCTAGATCGTTCATCTATTAAATATAAATAATTATATTATATTAATAATTAATTTATTTTCAGAAGAGTCAAACAAATAACATTATATTTATGTAAAATGTACTATCAAGGCACGAAAGTTTTCAGGTCTATGGGAGTATGTTTGTAATGTGATTTTTTGTGGTTGTGTATATGAAAGTGTGTATGTGTATGTGTGTGTACATGTGTATGTGTTTGTGTGTGTGTGTGTACGTTTGTGCGTGTACGTTTGTGCGTGTGTGTGTGTTTTCGACTTTAAAACTGTTTGAAGATGAATATTTTTTTGGTTTATCAATTAACCTTCTAAATTCTTGTGATGAAGAAACAGTTTGTTACATCTAAGAGCCAATTAGATTTAATAAAATTCCCGTGTGTAGGTATGTGCGCGCGCGCGTGTGTGTGTGTGTGTGATGTATTTGTGTGTGTATGTGAGTGTGTATGTATGTTTTTATGTGTACGATATATATTCATCAATTTATGTTCTGTTCGCTTGAGACTTCAAGTTTAGCAAGGATGCTACTGCAAGTGTGTGTATGTATATATATGTGTGTATGTATATATGTGTGTATGTATGTATGTATGTATGTATGTATGTATGTATGTATGTATGTATGTATGTATGTATGTGTCTATGTATGTTCATAAACTAATTTTTGCAACAGCAAGAAGCTTGTAGGGGATCCTCAG